CCCAATGATTCATCAGTTTCCAAGAATTACTTTCTTTTTTATCTAAAAGTAGAGACTGCGAATGATCAGTTTATTCTTGTATAAGTGTACAAACGGTGGGTAATCACCAATGCATATAAAATCGGGGACAAATCAATGCAATTTGAAAAAAAAAAAAAAAAAAAAAAAAAAATTAATTGCGAGATATTCTCGTTAAGGGGCAACTGATAATGTTTTTTTTTCACGACATAACGACATTAGACTTTATGGGTACTGCTAACAAACAAATAAAAAATGGAGTCTACTTCTATATTGCGTGAGTTTACCTCAAAATACAGAAAAAAACGAAATATCGCAACTGAATTTGTACGAAATTTTTTTGGTCCTCCGAACGACTAGATTTTTCTCGAGCTCCGTATAGTTATTGAAGTACCGTCGAGGTGGCTCTGCATTACCTCCCTCAAAACGTAATCGTTTCGACCCGCCGAAAACTAAACTAGTTCCTGCCCGATTCCCCCCTTTGATTGCCCCAAAAGCCAAAATGAGGGCACTTAAAGTGCAGGTGGTGGGTTGGTATTGGTATACCCAACGCGGCTATACACGAAGAGATAACAGCACAGTCACACCAATGGACACAGAGGATGAGACAGTGTAGGCGGCCGGGGCGTTCGGAAGCTGCGAACTTGTCAAGGACAGCGTCACACGCCGCACTCCTCTGCTCGGCTCCTCGTGCGTATTGATCGCACAGGATCGTGTGTATAGGTACAGCACAGCAGGCCCTCTCGCACTATCCGCGCCCTGTACAGATACAGACGTTGTGCGCGAGTAGATGCTGTCGCAGCTGGTTCCATGTGTGCCGGAAGAGACGGGCAGGAGGAGTATACGCCTCGAGACGTCCACGATCCACACCAGCTCCTACCGAACGACGCCCGTACATACTTATTCGAGTGGCGGAAAATATGCGCCAGTATGTTCCCGACGATGCAACGCGCTCTCAATTGTACGGCCGTTGAGCAAAAGGACCTCCTGGGGCGCTCGCTAAAGTTTAATTGCCAACATTTCGATGGATTATTCCATTGAATCATCCGACATAACCGTATATTTAATATAGACAGGGAGTAGAGCATCATAAAATTTGACGGAGCACGGGGGGGGGGGGATAAATCATAAAGCGAGTTGGTAAAAGTAAAGACGGCAGTGTTATAACAACCATTGTGCCACGTAATCGGCTCGATCGTCGAACCCATCCGAGCCCCCCCGTTTGGTGTCTATAGAGTATACGTATAACGCCAATATTCGCAAAAGCGTCTCTCATCTCTATTACTTTTCACACGACAAATTGCCACCGCCGAATTTTCCCTGTCCCCCACCCCGCGAGCATAAATCGCGCGCTCGCGCCGATCCTTTTGAGTTCCAGCGGGGACAAAGGGAGGGTAAAAAAAGCAGTCCGAAAATTCTAAAGGGAAACCGAGCGCGAGAAAAGCGGCGCAGATACGTGTGTGCGCGCGTGAACACACAGGTGTGTGTGTGTACGCGATGGGCGGGGCTCCCGACAAAAGATAAGAAATAAGAGCGCGAGCGGGAGGGAAGAGATCGAATAAAAGATTTTCCTGCCTTTTATCCCGGAGAACAAGGGTTGGAGGGAAGAAAGAGCTACACCGGGGGAGATGGAGGGTGGATATGTTTCACCCGGGCGGAAGAAGAGGCGGAAAATTCAAACTCTGACGCACGACCGAGTACACCCTATACCTACCTATACGTGACTCAATTTTTCAATTGACAACCAGATGCAACATTACATGCTCGTACCACCGCGAGTACATAATATAAGTATTATTAATTTATGTTTGTCGCGGAGTGAAAGGATGGATTTGTTCGAGCATCCTGCGCCCCCCCCCCTCCAACACCTATATATATACTTTCGTGCTAATAATCGTACTGCAATCGAGTCGGATTTTTTCACGAGCGCAACTGAAATGTCAAAGTTTGAAAAGGCGTCCGTATATAGGCATACGTGTAGGCATTTCCTGGCGAGTCGCGCGAAAAAAAAATGTATCTCTAACGTGTATATAATAACGAGCTGTAGTGCCATATATATATATATGGTACACACAAGAGACGCCTTGTGCGTTGCTCGGCTCGAGTTATCGCCGTCGAGCAAACATGCTCTATCAGCAACCTCGCAGATTTTATCTGCAAGGCAAGACGCACGGGTATGTACATACCTGTATACTCTCGTTTTATATTTATGTCATATTACGGGGGACAGGCACGACAGGCTCGTGTAAATATATATACGGCAATGTTCGACGATACGTCCAAATGACATATACACGTGTACGTATATGTATTTTTGTACGGGGTGGTCTTTTTTTCGCCAATCGGCATCCATAATGTTTGTCCATCGCCCACACCGACGAGACATTGGCGGGGTTATTTATAAATCCATACGATAAAAATGTCTCTCTACTTATGAATACATGTGACAAAAGTATGTATATATATATATTAATATGGACCAAAGGGTGATGACTTACCGTCGTCGGTGGTAACGGATGATTGTTGAACGGGCGGCTGGGTGGCGGCAGGTGGGGCCGAGGTAGGTGGTTTCCTCGACGGTGAGGTCTTGCAGGCGGCCGTGGGAGGCTGCTTGAGTACGCCCGTGGGCACGAGGCCCTCGGGCGCGGGCTCGGCTTGGCCGGGGCCCGGTGCCAGCCTAACCAGGGTCCACTCGCAGTTGGTTCCACCCCCGTTCTCGAGCACCTCGACTTGCTGGCCCTTGGTCACGCTCAGCTCCCGCGAGCCCGGTGCCGCCGTGTGGTCCGCCAACACCCACGTCATCTCCGTCACGCCCGTCTGTCAACACAACCACGAAGATCCGATAAATATATACTGCACCGCAAATCACTCGTGTACGCATTTCTTCTTTTTCATCAATTAATCTTATATGTATATGTATCATCATGCATATTATGTACGGGTTTTACTCTCATTGAAATCTCGACTCCCACGGTTGGGACCTATATATATCGTGGGCGACACGGGACAATGGCCAAATGGTCGGAGCATTGATTAAATCCAAATGAATCCGAGGATAAGGGTGTATTCTCTTCTTTGGAGGTACGAACAATGAGGGCTTTTCCAATACAAAATCATTGGGGCCGATGTAGGTAACTCCATTGGACGGTGAATAATATGGAGTCTCGTAAGCTCTTTATACCATACGTATAATTATATACTACATGTGGATTCGTGCAATATACGACTACCATCGCAAAGTATTGCAACGTAACACCGGCGTTGTTACAAATTAATATATAGACGTAACGAGGGAAAGGATGAACCGCATGATTTCGAGTATTTGTATGGGTACCTTTACATGTGCACATAATTATACACTTGTGTTGGGGCTTCAGCTTATAAGTGAAAATTCAATTCCCTCGGCATGTAGCCTCGCCGGGCACAACTTTACGCAAATTCAAACAATTCAGCAACAAACTGCAGCACCGGGGCCCTAAATTTCCCGACCATGGCCCTGCACCCGTATAAATCAGCTTGAAAAGCCAACAGCACACAACTGCATGCACGTCGTGTATAGGCATGCCTGCTCTCCGACACGATTTATTTCTTCAACGTGCGCGCGATCAAGAATTTTCGCCCTCGCATTCCCAAGCGCCGTAACGTACTACATGTTACGGTAACTTTTATTTTAATAAAAAGCACCACTGCGTCAATCGTTGGACATTATTGTTTCACTCCCGCGATTGGCCTCCGCACCGGACCAACTATCTCAGATTTATCTTACACGTGGTCTATTTATTAATTATCCGAGGCAACGGGCTGACGTTAACTTATTGCACGTTATCTCGAAATCGCCTGCTTTTTCTATATCTGTTCATACATCGCGTTGTATACTTCTATTATTTGAGGTAAAGGGAAAAATGTCTATTTTTTTGTACGAGGTGGTACAAGATACGACCAAATATAATGACTATGATGATTCACGCTCTTTGACAAGCTAATTTTTTAAGAAAAATATTACATGCACTCGAGCTTTTCTATAACTAAAAAAGGAATACGAACTAACTCGCACTGTTGGAACTTTTCGATTGACTTCGTTAAATCCCACGTATATTCGCACAATTTGTTGGGTAATCAAGTCGATGATAATGCCATACCATCATGGTTTTACGATGTCATCGTTTTCTTGAGTGACATGTGCGTTTGTAATTTACTTGGTCTCGCGTGGATTGAAAAAAAAAAAAAAAAAGAAAAAAAAGAAAAACTAATAATACAGGTAAATGAAAAATATGGCTTTTTTTACAAAAATTTCTGCTCAAGGAAATAAATAAGAGTTAATATTTGTCGATAAAAGTACAGATAATTATTTTTATCAACAAGCGCGGGCCAGCCAAGTGTAGCCCGTAGTGAGGTCAATCGCGCGAAAATCAATCGGCAGGTACGACTTTCGGAATTAAAAAATTGGGGACGCATCAATTATTGACGCGTGGCACTCACAACCGCGCGACTTCCCACCTTCCCAGCCTGGCCGAGCGCGAGGTGTATACATACATACGTACATATATATACATACATATCAAATATGAATTTACATTACGTGAGTGTGCTATTCTGCTCTGCTTTTACGTTAATCAAGTTTTCTTTGATTAGTATCATGTGGAAGATCTACTACAGCTCATCCCTATTGATAATTGAATTGATGTATTCTTAGCGAGCTACAAAAGAGGGGGGGAGGGAACTGGTTGACGATACTTTCGCAACTTAGTTAATTCACGCGACATATTTAAAATTACAAAATAATTAAAAATTCCATTTCCCTTCGTTTCTGCTTCTACGTATACACACATATACTATATGCCTAAACAACATCGATGGTAATCGAAGATTTTGTCGCAACCAGCAGAGCAGAACAACAGCCCCATTTGGGTTTCTGTTCAACAGCATTTTCACCCTCCCGGAAAAAAAAGAAAAGAAAAAACAACAACAACATACCAAGGAAAGAGCTCCGTCACGATCGTCCCATATAGTCGTTAAAAGCTCGTCACCTACGAACGCGTCAATGACTGAGCCATTGCTCGAGCGGCTACGCATAACTCCTTCAAATTATTTATTTCCCGATGAAACGCGGATAGGAGACAAAAGGAAGGGAAAAAACCGAGGCAAAAAAAGAACTTGCTGACAATAGCTCTTCCGTTACTCGCCAGTGGACGCCAAACGAACTGCATCGTCCTCTACGAAGCGGGTATGTATATATATATATTAATATGGACCAAAGGGTGATGACTTACCGTCGTCGTACTCGGTTGCTTGGGTTGTCGCTTCCATCGATGTGTGCACACATCGCCACAGCAGTTGAATCAAACGCCTGCACGTTATATTTCCGGTAAACGGTGAATTTCGGTGAAAAAAAAAAAAACATGAAAAACTTGTTCCTCCCCTACTTAGCTATACACAATGTCCATTTACGTCGATTGTATTATACGGTACACACCATCAGAGTCCATCAACTCCCCCCCCCCCTGTAATTTACTCGTTATGCGTTGCACGCAGAATTGATTTTATTTACGTGATGTTATTATAGTCTAAATGCTGTATACCTATTGCGCCCTCGAAACATAATATTTCATCGTATTATGGAAAATTCAAAAACGATGTAAGTATCCATATGTGTAATTATAATGAATGATGGACACAACGATAACACGCAGATACAAACTTTGCCTCCGGAACCTTTTTATGCGTAGGGGGGAGCAGGGCATATTTCAAATATACTTTTTTATTTCATTTTTCCCCCAACATTAAATTACATTTATAAATAGTTATGAAATATATAATTAGTGCTTTTAGCTTGTTCGAAATAAAAAAAAAAAAAAAAAAAAAAAAAGGAAAAACTCCGTGCACACGCGACGGGGAGGAGAGGAGGAGGAAAAACCAGTGATTGGAAAGTTCGGCTTGCAGGTAGAGTACCAATATGTACACAAAGAGAGAGTTGGTATACTAGGAGAGGGAAGGGGGTGGGGTACCCCATGTCGGAAGGACAAAATAATGGAATCACGTACAGCCATCCATTCGCGTGCACCCCTTTTTTTCTTAGTCCACGATCTCTTGAGGTTCGCGTGGTACATCCTCTACAAGTGGAGCACGTATACGGGAAGGATCCAAAACAAGGGAACGAGAGGAGGCGCCCTACTTTCATTACATCGATAATTGTACCTCGAGTGCATATATATGCAGTAGGTCGGTGGTTAATGACATTGGCGAGTGTTTCCCAAGACCGGTCGAGGATACGATTAACTGTTGATTCGATTAGCACAAGCTGGGCGAGGGGCTTTCAAGTGCCCTTTGTTTCGTTTTTGCAGCCGATACCCGAAAAGTACGAGACCGTGAGCCCTGGGGGCGTATTTGTCTTGCTAACTTTTTGTCCCACTGGCCTACTGGACCGAAACGGCGCAGCCGAAAGTCATTTGAAACAGCGTTCGCTGCTTCTGTCGCTCGCAGGCAGCGAGTAATTAAAAGCCAACTACTATCTCTCTGGCGAGGCAACCGCGAGCTCGTACAATTTTATGAGGGCATATAGACGTGTTAACAAGTACACCGAGTGCATAATTGGGACGCCCCCGTGACGTGTGCGTATATATATATTGTATACCTATAATCGAAAAAGGTGGAAATACTTGTGCTCGATCGAAGGAAGGACGAAACCACGTCGAATTTAAGTATATATGGGCAACCCCGTACGGATAGCGGACCCTCTGGAAAAATATGGTCATGGAACGAAATGTGCAACTGGGTCGATCAAACAGCCCCAAGTCTTGCTACTATTATCATGATGGCGATGATCACGGATAAAAAACAAAGGACATCATCCGAGAGAGGGAGGTTCTAATACCAACGGGCCATCACGGGCGCGCGAGCCTTTGAGTTCGCGGTTCAGCAGAGCGCGGCAAACGCGTCAGCGGTGTACGGAACTTTTCATCGGTAGGTGATGGTGTACGTTTATATATATACACACGCACACAGGTACCACGGGCCGCTCCGATGGATATGCCCCGATAAATAAACCCGCCCCATACGCAGGTGCACAACTTTGTGTTTTTTTTTTTTTTTTTCATTTGATAAAGTTGATGTTACGTTATTTCATTTATATAAGGTGGTAATGTACAAAAGAAAAAAAAAAATACTATATTATAACGGGGGGTTACCAGCATAGTGGGCACTTGACTGTGAAAATATATATTGTACTTACGCGTGGAAAGAAAGATGGGGACTAGGGCAAAAGGGAGGGTGTATACGAGATACGTGTATATACGTATCCAAATGATGGTCTGCAGAGATATACATATAATACGATTCGACGAGAGAGACGAGTCCCAACCCCCTTTTCCCTGAAACTTTGCGAGGATGCGGCGCTACAAGTGAAATTGGCCGAGCGGAAAGAGCGTTACTCGGGTACTTTGAAAAGTACCAGAATTCTCGGGAGGTTCGTTTGCATTGGCCGCCCCTCCTTTTCCGTGCATCTCTTTGCACTTTGACACAAAAAAAAGGGCTAGTGTGATGCAGGTTGTATGAGTTTAGCGTAAACTTGCAACACTCGGTACTCAGCATGTGGTTAACACACTGGAAACAGCAAAGTTTTGGAGATGTTTGATTAAAATATTGATGTGTGTATAGGTGCCCAGTGAGCTTGCCCTGGTTCTCAAGTATGTACATTTATACTGCACGTGTTGAACCAAGAGGTGAATTTATTCGCGGTTGACGTTTGATGCAGAAAAGACCTTTCCGCGTCTCTGTTACTTTTTTGCCTATGGGCTTCTTCCCTTTGACACCGGGTAGGT